ATAAAGTTCAAAGATTGTATCTAGATATGAAAATCGCTCATATATTAGAGCAAAGTTTCTTGCTTGTAAAGACAATACTGAAGATATATATCTAAAACAAATACAATACTTTTTTCAACATAAATATGAGCTAGGTGCTGGAAAAAGAAACAAAAATAACAATTTTTTCAAACCAAATTTTTTTATATAAATTAATTTAGAAACTTTTTACATTTAAGATATAAAAGTAGTTGTGTTAATAAAATTTTGCAGTATAGCTTTTTAAAGTTTGTATTTTTTTATAATCTATTATAAAATTTATAATACAAAAATTGATTTTCTGAAATTGATTTTCTGAAGATTTTTTGGTTTGTCAATTTCATTCTTTTTTTTAGCACCTAGCCCATATAATAATGAAATATATCATCTAGTATATATTTAATAGTATCAACCACATATTACACAAAGATATTACTTATTATTAAAGAATAATATGTGATGTGATATTAAAATTTGACAACAAAAATTTTATAAAGAATCAAGAGATTGTATAATTTCTATACAGAGAATAATAGGCTGATTTATCTCTTCTTTGTATAAATTATAAAGAAATAATAATCTACAAAAAGTAATAGTAGTAATTCCAACAAATAAATAATTTAATATATGTATATATTTTTTTTTTGGTATTAAGGTGATCTTCATTAGCCTGGAGAACTTTTTATTAGAGTATAGATGGAGTTTTATATGTAATTACAATGATAGTACATCAAGCCACACATGCACCTTTTGAGTGCCTAATTTAAGTAGTCCGCCTGAAGATTTTACACTATCTGCTGTATCTATACCCCAACTAGAGGGGTACCCATTTAAACTATCTGGTTTTAACTACCTCCATTGACTCTCTAATCCGGAGGGTTTCCTCACTAAACTAAGTAGATATTGGTATCACCCTACATTGGCTTTTGCACCCTGCCTTAGGACTTACTAACCCATATAGGCCTAGTCTATTCTTGAGGTAAACTTAATATAGCGATACATGTCCCACACATGTATTCACATACTTGTTCCTATAACTTCTTCCTAATTAGTACATATTGATTTGCTATTCCATATTTGTATCTTATACCACCTTTTGGGGTGCTGCCGTTCTACAGACGTTTTTAAGCACCAACCTTTCTAATCAGACGCCTATTACATACTTCTTGCCCATGTTTTGGTTTCTAGCAACCCAGTACCCCACATTTAGACCGTCTTCTTACCCAGATTCTTTATCAATCCCTCTCTTATTTCTAGCTGGCAACTCAGAAGAGTCAGTCTGCTTAGGCTTTAGGTGCCTAAAGGACACTCTCATCTTGGTTTATACTTTCGAAGCATATGTTTTTTTCCTCCAGTGTGACAACCCAGCAGTTCAGCTAGTATGTCCTCCGCCATTTTGACCTGGTCGCTCAGTTCTCCAATTTCAGGCCCCAGTTTGAATTCAGCCCTCCTGTGGTACTGTCATAGATCACTACTACCTCCAAACTCAGAACTTGCCAAATAGGTTTTTGGTTATTCCAGTCCCCTGAATTTATTGCGCCAAAGCTTCCATTACTAGATGGTGTGACTAAGGTTACAGATTAACTAGATCCAACTGATAGAATACTATCAACTATTCACAGGCCTATTTTTCAAAATCGTTGCCAGTGGGATTTGAACTCTAGACCTGCTGCTTGGAGAGGGTGACGACTAGACCACTACACTAAGTTGCCACACCTCAATAATTTAATATATTATAGACTTATAGTGTAATAATTTATATATTAATAAATCTGATATTAAATAATAAACATATTACAATTATCATTACAAATTGTTTTCTTTTTTTTCTCATTTGTAATTACCTTGAACTTTATTGTTATTACCTCAGGAAAAATAACAAATAAGAAAAAAAGAAAAAATTTGCAATATAAGTTGTGATTAATAAAATATAAATCTTCATCATGTGATCATAATGAGACAGGGAATAACTCATTTATTCTACCGTGCTGGGAAAATAATTAAAATATTCTCCTAGCGGTGTTTGTATAGGGCACAAAGCACCTCATACATATACCTCTGGAGAAATATTTTATTATCCCCACTGTCCCAGAAAATAAATAGTACATAAATATAATATATAATAAATAATTTTTAATCAAATGGTAAAAATATAAAATTAATAAAATTACATGTGATTGATAGAAAATTCATATGGAAAAATACAGGTGGTATATCATAATTATCATCAAGTAATTTATATAATCAGTAAATCATCGGTTAGTAAAAATAGTATCATAAAAATAATGGCTTATATTAAATAAATTAAATAAATTAAATTTATCAGTAAAATATCATAAAGAAATTTATAACAATCTGTTCATTTCATCACAATATATAATAATATTAAGAAGTTAAATGATTATTAATTTAGTTGTAAAATTATCATCAAGTAATTTATATAATCAGAAAATCATCAGTTAGTGAAAATAGCATATTTAATCAATCATAGAAATATCAGCTTATATTATGTTAAACTAAATAAATTAAATTCATCATTAAAATATCATAAAGAAATTTATTAAATTATATAACAATCAGTTTATTTTATCACAATTCTTAATAATATTAAGATATTAAATGATAATTAATTTAGTTGCTTAATTATCATCAAGTAATTTGCACCTGGAAAATGTGTGCCGGGTTGAGATTGATGATCATCCAGAAAGCTAGATTGGAATGGTATTACATTCGGAACTAGAAATAAAAATCATGATTTACATACATACATTGTCTAGCTAATAAAATAAATTTATTTATTGTCATTGGTTTATCATTATTTAAATTATAATAATAAATAATATTTTTTGTTTGTTTTTTTTCTTGTAAAAAATAAAAGCAATGCAATATATTTGTTATAAGTATGTGCACCTGGAAGATGTATACCGGGTTGAGATCGGATGATCACCGGAAAGCTAGATCGGAATGATATTACATTCGGAACTAGAAACAAAAATCATGTATTTACATACGTATGTTGTCTAGCTAATAAAATAAATTTATTTATTGTCATTGGTTTATCATTGGTTTATCATTATTTAAATTATAATAATAAATAATATTTTTCGGTTGTTTTTTTTCTTGTAAAAAATAAAAGTGATGCAATATTTGTTATAAGTATGTATTTTATATTGTAAGCTTATTTCGTTAATTACATACAAGAAACTATCAAATTAGAACTTAGCAAAACAAAAAAAATAGAATATATCAAATCTACCTATGTCACTTCGCTAAAAACTTTCGTTGCTTAAGCGTCACAAGTTGAAGCTATAATAGCCAAATGTGAAATAAGCAATGTTCAATCATCTAAAAGCGACATTAAAATTAGGTTGGTATTTTAAATTTTAATTGATACCAATTCAGAATTTATTTAATACCTATGTAGCAACTAAGATCTAATAAACATATTATATCCATTGAAAAGTTTTCAACTTATAATTAGTAATGTTTACAATAATAGCCTTGTCGACATTGAATATTTCAAGAAGAATATGAAAATACGAATCTCTATCGGTAGACAAGTTGGCGTCTTATCTATTTCACCAAATTTCATACAGTTAATGAATATTCAGAAAGAAAATATCGATCAATTTGAAATGAAGGGCATAAAGAATGATTGTAAAAAAAGTACATAAACTATCGAAGAAAACAAACCAATGGTCAAAAAGAAATAATGTCGAAATTTGTATTATTCTATGCATTAGGTATGTGTTGTAAATTGTATTAAATATTGCTTTATACTATCGCTATAGTTGAAAAAATAAAGTCTTAGTTAAAGGAAAAAAAAAGTAAAAATTCGAAGACATTTTTCCGGGCCATCATCCGGACCATCATCCGAACCCAACCCGGTACACATTTTCCGGGTGCCAATTAATATACATACCGATAAGACGTCATATCAGTAAATAATTTATCAATTATATATTTTTAAATTTTGACTCTAGTTCCTCCATTCCTGGTTTCTAGCGCAACTGCGTTGTGCAGTTATCTTATTACAGAATTATGGCATATCGATATGGCAAGAAATTCTCCATCATCGATGTTTATTTACTGTAAAAGCCACTTTGCTACAAACTTTTAGTTATTTTTGAACTAAGAAAACGCAACATGACAGATAAACAATAAGCCCTGTAGTAAAAAAGAAAAAAAAACGATACCAGTTTTTTTCCATGAATAATTACAATTCTTTTGAAAATTTCTCAAGTTGACAATATGGATGCATGTTATTGCTGGTACGTTACAAATTTGTACTATATTCAATGAATATAACAAAAACATTTAATGTATTTGACTCTTTGATAAAATGAAGCAACAACTTTATGGCTCAAATAATTTTTGTATAATGATTAATAACTTTCTTTGAATTTCTTTCACGCATTTATAATTTATTAATTTATTCATTCTTTATCATTCATGAATTTATTTACGAAAATCAAATGATAAAAATCTCTTTTGTAACAATTATCTAGTGTTCCGCCTCATACATGTACAGTTATTCTATCAATAATCAGTTTGGTGAGAAATTATATTTTCTTAATTTTAATAGTAATTTCATTAAAACAAATACTAAATGTTTTTAATTAATAATCTAGATATTATCCACATATATCACAGTCAGCTTAAAAGAACCAGAGCGTACATATATGTATAAATCTTATGATTTATCTAAAATTTGTATCGCTTATATTTATCATTCTTCAACTTTATATATTCGTTGATAGAATTTGTACCAGACTTATCAATACCATTAACTTTGGTGATAACAGTAACGTCTATCATTCTTGCGTTGATCTCAGTATTTGGACTTGTTAGTACATTCTACGTAAGCATTTATTTCTTGCTCTGGATTTTTGGGATTTAATAATCAATAAATTATTAATTTAAAAATCTATACATGGTTTCTATTAAAGAAAGCACCGGGTGCAATTAGACTATATTCGATAATGATATGGGGCTTTGTAATAATTACGTTCATCATTTCAATTATTGTTATTAATAGTATCGCTCAAAATAAGCGGAATGATATTAATACATGCGTAAAAAAACTCAAAGCTCAATCTGATTCCGAATCCACTATTAAAAACACTACTTCAACAACGGAAATTACAGAATTATGTCAAACATATGCAACGACCACTCTTATACATTATGGTATTTTTGTCATAACTGTAATACTATTCATGGTTTGTATATTTTATTATCATTATTATTATTATTTTCTCTTTTAGAATTTTGCTCACTAAAATTTTATCAATTTTGGCCTTAAGATATATTTGGCAGGAGCTGTTACCAAATATGCTACCCAACTTGAAACAGAGCATTTTAGATTCGATCATTCTACAGCTGTAAAGGAATAATTTTAAAGATTGCATCCATAGAAATTTAACATTACCAATTTTTGCACAAAATGTAATAATTAGTTTTATAATGATAGTTAAGCATTTCGCACTGTTAACCAATCTCGTTGTTTTTATAAATTTAAAATCTTTTTCATGTTAAGCTTTGAATATTCGGATATGATAAATGTACTTTTATAAATAATTTTTATGCTGGTTAAACAAAACAAGTTATAGAAAGAATATTCTGAATACAATGTATTGAGATTTTTTTTGCTGTTGATCGAAATTACATAAGTATGTATACCAACTCTTTAGATGTACTGTATATACTATTGAGAAGTTAATATTTAAATTTTAGCTTGTTTCTATGGAGTGCAATATATTCTGATATACTAAAGTTCTCTTGACGTCACTATGTTGTCAAATAAAGGCAATTTCTACAGGCACAATAAAATATACAAAAATTTACAGGTATCCTAATACAGTAATACGTAGTAATATTAAAATGAACAATAGTGACAATGTTAAAAGCACAGTCGTACCACTTTGCCATAAATAGTTTTATCCCAATTTAATTGTTATTGTTGCCTATAAATAAGTCCTTGCTTTCAGTATGTAGATATAGATGTGACATAATTGTATTGCGTATAGATAAGTCGTCGTGTTTTCAATTTAATTGAATATGTTTAATTATTGGATCCAAAGGAATTCCGATTTTTATAAATATTTATTAGCAAACTGCTAAACACATTAAAAAGATTTTGATTTAGTCTTATCCGAAAAAACGTGATCCAAGCAAGTTAATAAGGTAAGCAATAACTGAGATGATAACTTTCTAATCAGATGTAATGCGAAATTTATCAAAGTTTTCCAGCTTTCATATTCTAATTTAAAAAAACTCATTACAAAGTTGGATATTTACTCAAATCTTTTTTAACTTTCGACTTGTTACAGGATAAGATGCTTCGAATCAGATAATATATACTACACTGGACCCTATTGTGGCGGCTACAAAAGAGGCTTGGTCCGAGTAACTAGGATCAATAAAGCTCTAGATTGTGTCATGAGATTCTAATAATGGGTCGTTGGGATTATAAGATTCACCTGCCGGAGGGAATTAGAGCAAAATACCTATACGGATGAGTGTTTTTAACTCTACTGAGTTATCTTTATTGCGAGAAAAAAACTCACCTTTTATATTTGATTTTTACGTATAACGGAATCCTATTTATTTTCGCTGTTTTAATTCTTTGAATTCTAGGAATTCAGTAATCCCAAGAATTTTGTACTGTTACAGTACACTCAAAACCACCTTGAACGGTTCGATGCAACTGGGCGTAGATAATTGATAAATGCCTCACGTGTTTAACCTTCAAGCCGTGAATCTCTAAGAGGTTTTCAATAGTGATTTGGCTTGTGAAAGAGGCAAACGTCTAAATGTATATGAGGATACTATTGTAATAAACTAACAAATGTAACCGTGAAATTTCTTCACTTCGGTCACGTGATCAGGGCCGTTAAATATTAACTTCTACTTGTGTATGAAAACACAAATATTGTTTTTTTTTTTATTTATTGAATATGAGTTTAGAACTGTCGATTTCCACCGGGAAATTGAAGGTTATTTATACATGTTTTCTAACTAAGATACTTGGTTATTATTTTCACCAGTTGTAATGGATCAATTCTATCTAATAATTATACGTGATCCAATATGACGATACATTCTATAGAATTAATAGATACTAGGAAAATAGAAACTACTTGAAGTTCGAAGGACTAAATATAAAAAAAATTAAACTGATTTTTTTATATTACACCAATAAGCATCGACCACCTATTGTTTTGATTGTTTCTTTATTATGTTACACCTAATCTAGCCAATCAAAATTCAGAATTTGTTAACACACGGATATCGGGTGTACTATTACTCTATCTGTAGTGTCCTTCGGACAATTATTTGAAATAAATAGTGTCATAACTAAACCAGACATAATTCATTGGTTTGAATTTTCCCTTAATAAAATATAACAATGTCAATGAAATAAAAATTAATCATCTTTACTTACAATAATAACAAAGAAAATTGGTATATAAAAGAATAAACAAAAACTCTTGGAATTTTATTGATATAAGCAATAATTTTAAATAAGCTCAAATACTAAATTATAAATTAAACTACTAATAAACTTAGATTTGCTAGTGAATAAATAATAATAGTTATTAGAAGGATAAACCTATAGTATTCATTTGCTATAAAATCTACTTTTTATTGTTTAACTTTTTTTATTTGATAAATATATAATTAAACTGCAATATAATTGTATCAAGTTAGCCTCTACACTTTTTCAGAGCAGTGAATCATGTTATATACTTACACAATACACCCTTTCTAATAGCAGTACTCAATCTTTTACCTTTTATACAGATGGCTCAGTATCGGACATAGGCACAGACAGCTGCTCAATGGGCATTGGCTGAGTACAAATTGCCAACAATCAAGTAACTAATAGTTTCTCCGCCAAGATTACCAACTGGCCCTCCTTATACAAAGCTGAGCTAATAGCTATCTTGTCAGCTATCTCTACACTACCTTGTGATGCTGAAGTTGTCATATATATATACTCACAATCTGTGATCTCTAAATACTACAAACTTCTTCAGATATCACCTAAATCTTCAAAATTCTTCAAATTTGACTATTGGTCTATTTAGCATAGGGCTCTTACCCGGGTCGAATGACCCGTACGGGTTACCCGACCCGACGGGTCACGGGTCAAATTTTGGTCTACCCGGGTCAAACGGGTCAGAACCCGCCATCTTTCGATACAATTATCCACCAATCACAATCTACCTATGTGATTTTATCCTTTTTTTGCT